GAAAATAAAGTGAGACAGGAAGGAAAGAAGCGAAAAAACGTGATACGAAAAATCATTATATTAAATTGTTAGGAAGAGCTGTTTATGAGAATAAACTGCTGACTAAGTGTTTAATTACTGAATCATTAGGGAAGATGAATTTGCTCAGTACTGATCGGTTCCTGAAGCAAAATCTGAGAGCGGAGCGTTCTAGTTTGGCATTATCAAATTTTTTTGTTTATAGATACCTATAAGCAGCCTAGCCCAGTCCCGGAATCCCTTTGAAAGAGTGCATATACGTGCATAACGAAATTGCGATACAATGACACCTTCCTGCATCGTTTGGTCCATATTACTGTTTGGATACGCTCCGTGATTTACGATCTTATTGTATACGCTGAAAATGCATCAGACCTTTTGGCATGAAATTTCGAGGTGTAAGAACCAAGCCCTATGTTCGCAGCAGGTGGTGTTGAGCTGCAAGCTGGGTCCGTAGATATTACCGGCGATTTCAGCAAAGTTGGCGCAATTAACAGTGAAGATGTCATCGATATATCGAAAGAAATGAAGACGAGTACGGGAATTCTTACGATGAAACCGGTACTCCATGACTGATAATGTGAGATTGGCAATATCCGGACTAGCATTACCTCCCATTAATACACCTTGTATTTGCTGAAAACGTAGCCAATAAACCGTACGTATGTCTCTTGAAAAATGATTGGAAGCATCGCCTTGACTTCATTCTTTGTGTAAGATGTGACGTCGCCCGTGAATTCATTAGCATTGTTACAAGGGCGACGACGACGACGACACTGTTACGACGAGCTTCGGGCGAAAATTGGATTAATGCTGATGTACTGTGACGCGTAGTGGACAGACTGGAGTAAAAAAACAAACTTTATCAATACTGGTACAAGTTTACACGTGATTCGGTGGGCGGCGGGATTAAATCGAGCGCTTGCAGCGACAACCGCTACGGACAAGGTGCCGATAAATGGAATGCAGCGAGACATTGCTGCAATGGACCGCTGGACGCGAAACGCGGAGCACACTGACTGCCAACGATCCTGAATACTGAAGACACGGGACGGCGACGCAGAACACTGGGGGGATACACGACGATAACACGGAAGACGCACTCGACGATACCGCTGAAAACACACTGAATCTTACAACAATTTTACAAGCTTAAATACTCATTACAAAGGGCGGGACAGATCACGGGTCAAACTACTGCGCGATTCTGGATTGTTCCTTGCTTCTCCTGCGCGCCATCTTTTGCTCGCTCTACATGCCGCTTCCTGTTGAAGCTCGGACTCCGAGCTCGGCGGTTCTCTGCACGATGCGGATGCGTTCGTTGCTGCGTTGTTTTGGCCACTGCATATCGTCCTCGTTTCCTCTGCATTGTTCGAACTCTTGGCGTCCTTTCTGGTTCGGCTTCTTTTGCGTCCTGAGCTGCCAGATCAATGCGAATCTGGTAACATTATTTTAGTGCTGCGGCAAATCTCCTCGCTCCGACGGTAGTCCAGTTTCCATTGTCGGAGCAGTACTTGCCGTCTCTCCAAAAAAGTTGTTGTCCCGTTTCAAATACCAGATCAATTTCTCCGGGTCCATCTTGCCAACCTGCAAAGATCCAAGAACGGTCCGCATTCTTCCCCTTCATTGCCATAAACCATTCTTTCATTTTCTGCAGTGTTTGTTTGTGGCCCTTTACGAATGGTGGTGCCATGATCACTGTCTGCACATCGGGACATTTCTGTAGCGCGGCTACTATTTCTTCAGCATCTTGCTCCTTTGCGTCCACATCCAAAAGAAAAATTCCGATTCCCGTGAAGGGGCCCATTTCCCAAGGGCTCCTGCTCAGTTCGCTCCAGTTGCTAAACTGCAGTTGCTTCCCTGCTGTTTTTACAGCTACATGCTCGCTTCCCACCAGCACTTTGCTCAATTTGCACGCTCGTGCTTCTCCAAATATCACCACTCTTGCTTTTGTCGCACCTCTGGTTCGGTTCACTTCTGCTCGAACTTTTTCGGTCGCTTCAACAAACGGATCACGCTGCGCGAATATACCTTGGTACCCGGAATACATGGGTATTCCAAACGTTTCTTTCATTGTCTGATGCCGATGAGGACAGCTCTTTGTCAAAGCTGCAGTGGCTTTCCGCCATCCTTTCTTCTCTGCTACAACGGGTATGTTGTACGGGTCCTTCCGCGAAAGTGTTTTTTTGATCTCCACTTTTTCGTCGGAATCCCACAAATTTATCGCTTTTGCCAACTCCTCTACTTTTCGAAACGGAATTTTGGCAACAGCGTCCGGTAGAAATGCGTCTACCACGCTCCCCAGTGTGACTCCGTTGCGACACACTGCTGCCGTACATTCATGGTGCTTCCCCGTGATCGTTTGCTCCACATTCAGTGCTCTGCGGGGTCCCTGTCCCCGTTCGAATACCACTTGAGCGACTGCTCTGGGTCTGAAATTGTATATATGTACTCTTGTCCCTCGCATTTTCTTTTCGGGGCTCTTTCCTAATTTCAAAGGTCTACGAGCCCTTCTCCTCCGTGATGCACCTAGCAGATATTTCCCTTCTACCACTTCCTTGGGAATTTTCCGCAGGTGGTCCAACTGCACTTTGAACGCTTGTTTTCTTCCCCCTATCAGCTGCACTGTGGCGCTATTGTCCGTCATCGCCAAGATGCGGTATGGTCCCACGAATTTATGGCTGAACTTGGGGTGCTGGGTCTTTCTGACCTCTGTCGGCATACACACTAGTACGTGTTCTCCTATCCTGAACGGACTAGCTCGCACGTGGCTACGCTCATCATAATACTGCTTGGTTCGCGTTTCCGTTGCTTGCACCATTTGCGCTCTCCAGAGTCGAGATTTCTCTAGCGCGTTGGTATCTAATAGCAACGGTTCACCAATCCCATCCTCTGCTTCCACAAACATCTCTACGGGTCTTTCCTCTTGACCCCATCTTACT